CCTCTTGAATGCTGGGATTAAAGGTGTCTGCCACCATGCCTACCTTTTTCCTTCACTGTGGTGCTGTTGTGTTAGCTTCCCTGCTGCTCTTCTACACAAGTCCAGAATGCTTTAGCCTCATGCCCTTTGCACCTGCTAATTCTGCCTTCTTTAGTTCTTCATCTAGATGCACATAGCTATGGTAGCTCCCCTACCTTCTTCAAAGTCCCTGTTCCAATCTTAACCCTGTAGAGACATTTCCTCTGTCCATCTCATATAAAATAGGACCTTCCGTCACTCTATTATCCACACCTTTATAGTAGTTATTGCTAGCTGATAAACAATTGTTTATTATCTTACATTAGAAGCCTAGAACTTTGCCTTGATTATTGTTTTACCCCAGACCTCAGGAAAATGGTTGGTATACAGCAAGCACCCAAAATATTTTGTTGAGTTAATAAGAAAGACATCAAAGATTTTACAAAAAAAGAAACTGACGAGACATAGACATGACATCTAAAGAGACAAGTTGGCAGTGACAGAGGAAAATACTTACTGCAGCACCAAACTTCTGCTGGAACTGATCAATGACTGTGTATGTCACCTCCTCCTCTTCTATAAGAAAAGGATGGCATTAAATATATTTATCAGGGGCTGGGGATTTAGCTCAGCGGCAAAGCGCCTGCCTGGCAAGCGCAAGGTCGTGAGTTCGGTTCCCCGTACCGGAGAAAAACCAAAAACAAACAAACAAACAAATATATTTATCAGTAGATAAGTATGGCAGTAGAAGAGCCTGCCCACTAATTTTGGGATACTCATACATTCCAATTCTACTGTGCTAATGTCACAATTTCTTTCATTATCACCTGTGTTGGTCCCTCTCACAGTGAATACTAATTATCATTCTGTTTGTCAACTGAGAATTAAATAAGTGCCCCACCAATGATAACCTTACAAATGGAACTGTTGGCCGGGTGTAGTGGCCCACATCTGTAATCCCAGCACTTGAGAGGCTGAGGCAGGAGGATCCTTGCGAGTTCAAGACCAGCCTGGGCCACAAAGTGAGCTCAAGGCCAGCCTGAGCAGCATAGTGAGACCCTGTCTCAAAATGACAAAAAAAAAAAAAAAAAAAAAGGAACTGTCTGCTCATTTCCTGTGATAAAACAATAATGTTTTCTTTCTCAGAGATTTGTTTTGAATACCTCAAGTCATTTGTTTTTTGATACAATGTTCATAACAGAAAATAACAGTTCAAATAAATGAGCCAGGCCTGGTGGTGCCCACCTGTAACCCCAGAACTCAGGAGGCTGAGACAGAAGGATTGCCACGAGTTCAAGACCAGCTTGGGCTACACAGTGAGTTCAAAGCCACCCTGGACTACATAGTGAGACCTGTCTCAAAAAAAAAGCCAACAAAATAAAATAAATGAGTCCTAGAAATGGGCAAATGCCTGTGCTTTTAAAGTTTTCTGGGGAGTGACGGTTAATTTTTGAAACTTGAGTAATTTTAAAAATTAGATATATAATAGAGTTCCCCTCCCTCTTCCTTTTTTTCCTTCTCTCTCTTCTCTTGATACTGAGGATTGAATCTAGGACCTCACATTTGCCATTACATCCTGACTCCTATTTACATTTTATTTTGAAGCCAGGCATGGTGGTATGTGCCTATAATCCCAGCACTCAGGAATCTGAGGCAGGAGAGGACAGCCGTGAGTTTGAAGCCAGCCTGGGCTACATAGGCTAGCCTGCACTATATATAGTAAGACCCTGTCTCAAAAAAATTAAAAAGATAAATTTTATCTTGAGCCCAGTTGGTAGTACATATTTATACTACTAACACTAGGGAGGCTGAGGGAGGAGGATCACCTCAAAATCAAGGGATTCACAGTGAGCTCAAACAAGACTGAACTACACAACAAGACCCTGTCTCAAAAAAAAACAAAAATAGCTGGGAGTGGTGGTGCACGCCTGAACTCCCAGCACTTGGGAAGCTGAGGCAGGAGGATTGGTGCAAGTTCAAGACCAGCCTGGGCTACAAAGTGAGCTCAAGGCCAGCCTGAACTGCATAGCGAGACCCTGTCTCAAAAAGAAAACAAAAA